AGGCTTCATAAAAATGACCTCCGAGAACACCGACGATATTATCTATGTAATTAAGATGACACGACCAAAATTAATACACAACAAATTTAATTACTATTTACGTCGCTGAAAATACAGCAATGCGCTTGCCACACCAGAAACCGACCAGGTAGCGACATATGGATTTTCGCGTATATCAACTATATAAGCGGTATATGTATACAACACTACAGGTACGGTCAGCTGCAGTTAGGGCCCGGTAGCTCCAACGCAGATGCACGTGGCATCGATGAGCGGTCGCAGACATTCGGTGTTGATGCAGTCAACGGCCTTGCGTGCAAACCTATGCCCATACTCCCCTCAATCAGCGAGCTGCCAACAGAGAAGATGAAGGCAGGTTGTGTGGTGTGATATCGCCACGGCCATACACCACCACTCTCTAACACACTCGCCAGAAACACGGGAAAGGTTTAATTCCGCGTAGAATGTAGTTCGGTACTTCTTACTGAGATCGCGCAGTAACCTTGTTGGCTGGCACAAAGATTACGTGATCTGACGTAGGGATCAGCGACGCACACGACAGCGGCGACGACGACGACGTGTATACGATGGCACTTACTGTAGCTGACAGCGTGTTTGCCTGATGCAAACCGGCGTGCAGCATGCACTCCTCGCCCGAACGGATCGCATGACGCTCGCTGCTCACACGTTTGCACTGATGCCTGCAGTGCGTAGCTCGAAAAAGAAGCTCGGGCACGCTGTCAAAGAAGAAAAACACAGACTAGCACGGACTCGAACGGCGGTTTGCTACCGACACCGCGGTTTGGCGGTAGAGACTGTTACGAAACACAGCCGCGCAGGGTTAATAATGACAATATTATTTATTTTGCTTTTAAAAATTTGATAATATTAACCCCTGTGGACATGGAATATCTGGTGCTGAGACACTTCAGAAGCTAGAAACGCATTCGTATCTGTATGGTTCATTAAACATCTATTGATGATGACTGACACTGATGATTATAGTAATGGTCGAGAACTGATCGAATAATATATAATATAATATATTAATGTGCGAATTAATATCGACACTGATGGTCATGACAATACTGAACACTAATTCTAATAATAACAATATATAACAACAATATTACTGCATCCTGATTGTAAGCAATACTGACCGCTGATAGCAGGGTTATAACAATTAACTTCCCTTTGCCCAAGTATTGCTGCCAGAGAAAAAAAGCAGGCGGCACATTTACTATCCAGGCGGAGGAATCTTTCGGAAATGTTTTACCCGATGCTATATTAGGATTTGCTTTGGCCAGGCAGATGGATTGACTGAGATGGTGAGGGAGCAGCAGTAAAACTGCCGCTCATCCTAGCAGCCAAAGGGTTGCTGGGCTTGCTCGGCTCCTAATATGAACCCTGTATAATAATGACCTTTTGTAAGCAGCAAGTTGCTGCTTGCTGGCCCTAATTTCGAACACTGTAAAACGATCTTTGTAAGCAGCAAAGTTGCTGCTTGCTGCCCCTAATTTCGAACACTGTAAAATGATCTTTGTAAGCAGCAAAACTGCTGCTTACTAATTTCGAACTTTGCCACAGTGACACCGACGCACACGTGGAAGCGGATGCGATTAAGTCGTTAGATGCGAGGTTACGTCGTAGGTCGGCAGCGTCGGCCCTGGCCAGCCCGCCGTGCAAGTTACAGACGCCCGTCACGTGGTCACAGGTGCGGGTTGCGTTAGCCACACGTGGCAGTTCTCCGGCGCATCCCGGCCGCGTAGAAGCCTTCCTCACACACTCCAATAACGACAGCACAACGTCATGAATCATCGTTGGTCACGTCACACGGTTTGTGGCAGCACTACTAGCCTTCCTCGGTTCCCCCGTCTCCCGCCGCCAAACCGCCACCATGAAAATTTCCCCTTAACTTTCTTCAAGCCCATGGTCCCTTCACTGCCCTTACCTTCTTCTTACCTTCCTGTTACCTTCCTTTATGCCTTGGCCTCTCTTGCCTGTCCCCGTCACCTTCCTCTCTTGCCGTTCCTCGCCTTATCTTCCATATCCCACGCCGATCTGACTCTAGCAGTGAATGCGGGAGTGTGACACTGCACCTCAAGGATGTGCAGTCCTCTCCTGTGTAGCGCTTCCTCGATAGTCCCGGTCTCGCCCACCGCGAAAGTTTTCCTCCCTTCACTTCCTCCACGATCGGACTCTAGCAGTGACTGTACGAGTGTGAGCATCACTCTCATTGCAGTCCTCTCCCATGTAGCCTCCGAACAGCTGCAGGTTCCTGTCAGTGGGTGACACTCGTCAAAAATGGATCGCACGTACACGTCTGTGAGCAGTTGACACCAAAGTAGCCCTTCTGCACGGCATGTCACACGCTAAACGAGGGAATCAGACTCGTGATCATATTACACATCGTTTAACAACCACTGGCTGTATCAGTCAGAGACAACACTGCTGCCACCCTGACTGCCACAAAGCAGAGCTCGAATTGTTTTGGCGGCCAAGGCAAATGCTTTCCTTTGAGTTGCTTTCAGCAATTTTAGGTGCCCACTGCTCCCGCACCAAAACTTACCTTAAAATCTCACCTGCTCGCATTAAACACCTTACCTGTCCCCACTAAAATACTTACCTAAAATCTCATCCTGCTCGCATTAAAACTCACCTGTCCCCACCAAAATCTTACCTAAAATCTCACCTGCTCGCATTAAAACCTTACCTGTCCCCACCAAAATCTTACCTAAAATCTCACCTGCTCGCATTAAAACCTTACCTGTCCCCACCAAAATCTTACCTATAACCTCAACTGCTCGCATTCCTTACCTGTCCCCACTATAACCAGCCAGACAGAGACACTCCCCCGTGACGTGATCGCAGGAACTGCTGTTGCGACACTGGCACGGCAGCGAGCACTGTGGGCCGTACGTCGCCGTCGGTGAGTGACACGCATCCTCACACTTCTCACCGACGTAGCCGTCGAAACACCTGTCAACAACGACGACGACAACGCACCCGCGTGTTACCTATACCCTATTACAATTACAATTACAATTACAATTACAATTACAATTACGTATCCACTTGGCACGATCAACATGCAGTTATAGCCAATCACTGTTGTGTTAGGATGTTCTAAAAACAATGTTGGCTGAGGATGTGCCACAGGGTTGACGGTTTAGCGTGCTCGTTAAAAAACACTTTCAAACCTGGCCTAGCTTGGCTGACTAAGTAATAATATTTAAGAGGGCAGAGCTATCTCACTCAGAAGGATAGATCAGTTACATATAAGACCGTTTCACAGAAATTACAAAATAGAACGAATATTAGGTAGAGTCACCAGACTTGTAATCTTCCCCCCTGACTTCATGATTAAACCCAGGTTCTGTAGAAGCACTAGCCATGCAGCTTGCTGACTCAGACTAAACTCAGACAAAAACTTATAAAGGTTGACAAAGGTCGAGGTGAAGCCATCTGTGTAGCATACACACATAGTGATGCCTGGAGACGTACACATGCATCATCCGTCCGTCGGTCGTCGCATCATTCCATCGTTCTACGTATGATATTCTTACCTACGCACGATCTTACCTGCACATGCCAGTGTAAGGGTTACACTCTCCCTGTCCCACTACACAGTCACAGGATATGTGGCCACAGGTCTGATCAGCCTCTCTGCATTCCTCCTGGCAGCTTACACCACTGAAGCCTAACGCAAAGATAAAATATCGTACAGAATGATTTCGGACATTTATGCATTTCCAAAGCAAAGCAGGATTGATAGCTAACTTGTAAACAAAAAGGAAATGACAGGCATATTGTCGCGTGTATCACAGGCAAGAATTCTGTCAAGTATTTCTGTATTTACCAATATCACAGGTAGAAATTCTGTTAGTTATTTACCTGTATCACAGGTAGAAATTTTGTTAATTATTCACCTGTATCACAGGCTAGAATTTTTGTTAACGTTATTCACGCTGTATCAGTCAGGTAGGAAATGGTGTTAATTATCACCTGTATCAAGTAGAAAATTTAGTTAATTATTACCTGTATCACAGCGTAGAATTTGTTAATTATTCACCTGTATCACAGGTAGAAATTTTGTTATATTATTCCACAGCTGTATCAAGTGAGAATTTTGTTAATTAATTCACTGATATCACAGGTAGAAATTTTGTTATTTATTTACCTGTATCACAAGTAGAAATTTTGTTAATTATTCACCTGTATCACAGGTAGAAATTTTGTTAATTATTCACCTGTATCACAGGTAGAAATTTTGTTAATTATTCACCTGTATCACAGGTAGAAATTTGTTCATTCATTCATTCATTTTTCATTAATGTATTTCACATGTTAATTAATTTACCAGTATCACAGGCGAGAATTCTATTTACCTGTATCAGCAGGTAAGAATTGTTAATTATCTACCTGTATCACAGGTGCACATGCCCGCTCGTGCGTCTCACAGCTGCCATTTCCACACAATCATCACACACGGAGGAACAGTTCCTGCCATAGAAACCAACTGGGCATGGGTTTCTCACACCTGCAACACAAGAAAAACCCAACTGGGTTATATTTAGAGAATATATCACAGTGATTGAATGCAAGTACACGTGTGAATTCAATATACGTGCATATAAGGTTTTGTATGAGGATAATACACACCTTGCACTGCTGGACCACTCGATTTACTAAGAGCAGATAATGTCTGAAAATATTATATAAACGGAACGAACCTTTACTTAAACACATTACGCGCGATTCGGTTATGAACACAAGCGCACACAGTTACTTTCTGTAAATACTGAAATGTTACCACACTTTAAGTAAACACCCGGTGAAGAAAACAGTGGGACTATTTCTAGGAGTGGACTTTCAGTAATTCCAGTGTGATAGACAGCCTGTTGTACACTAACACACTCTCAGTCTCAATGTTGTACTTGCTACCAATTAGCTGTTAACAGCACGTCTGCAGAAACTCTATACACACGCACGCACGCACGCACGCACACAGAGCGAAGGCAGGAATCGTGACCTTAGATGGATCCCTTTCTACTGCACCAGAAGTTATTCTGAAGTCTGGTGCGGGCAACTGTAATTGGGGTGTTGTAGAGTATATCCAGCCGAGGGTTTCAGCATGTGTGATCGCCTCAGTGCAGGTTATTAAAGGCAGACACTGAGCCTTTCAAACAAGCGCAACACACCAGCTGAGGAACACATGTATGGGTATATACGGTTACACAGAGCAGCAGGATATGGGAGGAATGGGGGGTTAACATACCAGCTAGCGCTCCAGGAGTCCTCTGTTTACCTATGAGTCATTGCTAGCTTCTACGCTAGGTTCTATGTAGCCTGTAGAGACTATTTCTACTCCATACACTGGAATGCTCTAAAATACGAGTCTTGAATATACTGAGTAATATGCGGATCTATGTGCCATTAACCTACTAGTAAGTTAACCAGCACGAATGGCTTCTAAAAGTAGTATATAAGTTACTGCTGCCATCATTGGATTATATCGACAACCGAAGATCACCTACCATTACAGTAACAGCAATGTACTTCCGGTATCACCGTGGTGACATGATGCTCAATCTACTATCACAGGGTTAGTGATTTGAATCCCACTATCATCAAAGTCCAACCCAGGCACGGGAAAGATGGACTATAAACGAAGATGATGATGATGATGATGATATCACCATGGCAATGTCGTTCTATATTAATGGTGATTGTGTGGTGCACTCCTTCCTCTATAACAGTGACAGTGAGAAACTCACTCGACTATCACTGTCACAGTGACTGACACTACAAAGTGGTAAACCTCACATTATCACAGTGACAGCATGTGACACGTCCACCCCTATCATGGTGACACGGCCATCCATATCATGGCGACACGTTGTGACACTTACCAGGCACCTGTTAAGCCGGACTGACACGGACATCCTAGCATGAGGTGACAGTGTCATACTTCTAACATTCACGGTGACACGTCGTGACACTCACCTGGAGCCTGTGTAGCCGGACTGACACTGACATCCTAACACGCTGACAGTGCCATACATCTAACATCCACGGTGACATGTCGTGACACTCACCTGGAGCCTGTGTAGCCGGACTGACACTGACATCCTAACACGGTGACACGTCGTGACACTCACCTGAAGCCTGTGTAGCCGGACTGACACTGACATCCTAACACGGTGACAGTGTCATACATCTAACATCCACGGTGACACGTCGTGACACTCACCTGGAGCCTGTGTAGCCAGACTGACACTGACATCCTAACACGGTGACACGTCGTGACACTCACCTGGAGCCTGTGTAGCCGGCCGACACCGACACGCCCCGTCACGTGGTCGCAGCCCGCGCTTCGCCCGCCAGGGCAGTCGCACGGCGCCCGATCCCGCTCCGTGGGTCCCCCCGACATCGACTTTCGCAGCTGCCCCCTGTCCATCCAGCGTCACACACGCACGTGTAGGGTTCTGCGCAGGTGCCGTGCATGCACGTGGGGCTGCAGAGCGCTGCATCACACAAAATAAACAACACACGACGTGTCAGGGTTCGAAATTAAGTGCAGGCGCGTAGTTTTGCTGCCTGCAAGGGTCAGTTTGCTGGCTGTCGGCAGTAAATATTTCTATATATAATATAATACCTTATATATATATATATATATATTGACTATATATTAAATATATTTATATATATATATTATATATTTCTATATATAATAATGATAATTCAGAAATTTTTTAATAAACCATATTAAAGGCAACACAGATCCTGCCTGGGTGAATAAATGTACCACCTGTATTTTTCTCTGGCAGCAAGCACTTGCTGCACGGTAAAAAAAACTCTGCGTGTTACGCGTTTTTTTCTGGAATGATGGCATCAGATTTCCTTGCACGTTGTACGCGCAGTGACCTAACTTTTAGCCAACTCCGAAAATATCGGAGGAATCTACAGTTCTGACAGCATCAGACAGATAGATAATCAGAGAGATAAACATACAAAAAAGCAGAAAGCCAATGCAGCAGAGATATGGGTTCGTATATACCATACGTAGTATACGTAACCTCCCACAGCCTAAGATCATACACTAGCTCCAATAACAGCCGATTTATTTCTGGATTGCTTTGACCTACTGCCAGCTGGTGACAAGCTTAAGATACAAACAGTTTGACCAGCTAACAACAACAATCTACAATCAGTCGCCAAAACTTGTCTTGTGTCAGTATTATATCTGGACGTCTTGGCAACTAAATTACGTTGTGATTTGTTGTACCGTCACGCACACTCACACACACGACTCTGTTCAGAGTGAGGCAGCGGTTGATTGATTCACTGTACTGCAGGCAGCAGTAGCTGCTGCAAGACTCAAGATGACTGTATACCCTTGGGGTAAATTCTTAAAAGCCTCCACATGACAGACCCCAGAGTCATGACCTCTTGCCTTAAAATAAAAATCCCTCAAGGACCCATCTTCCTTGAATAATGCCCCCTCTCTGTAAATTAGATCATCCTCATCCTGAGTGGTAACCATCCTGATCCCACCATCTTTCTCTAAGGAATAAATTTTAATGATTTCTAGATTTACAGATGTCTGAATAGCTGGCATGCATAACAGCATCAGGGGCGTGTACAGGATTTGTACCAGGGGGGGTTCTAACCTTAACCCAAACTTGCGAGCACGCGAAGGGGGGCCCTCCCCCAGGAAATTTTTGAAATTAGACCCCCTTAGATGCGTTTTCTGCGTGAGCAGGGGGGTCCAAACCCCCTGGACCCCCCCCCCTGTACACGCCCCTGAGCATATAGGATAATGATCAAAGGCACTTCCTAAAGACCTTTCATGCTAATGTATGCAATGTTCAGCGGACAGTTGATTGCAGATAGAAATTCAGCGAGCAAATAAACTAGTTTAAACAAACATACCCAGCCCTTCTCACTACATTCGCACAATCACCCACATACGTACACCAGTTTTGGAAACAAGTCTGTAAACCCAGGCAGACCTGATTTCAACAATTTTGTTTTCTACTATATAGCATATAATAAAATCCATGAAAAATAGACAGTCCCGTTCAAAGGTTACCAGCAGTACTGGACAGCGGGCTGCTATTTCTAACACTGAACATAGGCACAAATCCACGCACACTCATGTAAGCCCAAATGCATGCATACACACACACACAATGACATATATGTATACAGTATATATATATATATATACTCTCACATGCACATGCACACACACGCGTGCGTACACAATGAAAGATATGCTCTCACACACACGCACTCATGCACGCATGCACGTACACACACACGCGCGCACACACGCACGTACACACAAACACACACACGCACATGCGCGTGCCTGCACATGTGCGTACATGCACATGTACACACACACACAAACACGCATGCACGCACGCACACACGCGAGCACACGCACACACACGAGCGCACGCACGCACGCCTGCACGCACGCACACACACACACACACACACACGCACACACACAAGCACAAGCGCACTCGACATGTAATGCACGTACGTTCTGTACAGTTAGTAGAGGAGTTCCAGCCACTGCAACATCGCCGAGTCTTCCTGTATCGCGTCAACTCCTTCTGTCTGACCTCAGGACGATATGACACCCTGCAACATTACGCCATCGTCTGCTGTGAAACTCTACTATTGAACTCTACCCCCCGTCAAACACAACTACTATTCATATTTTCGTGCCTCGGCAGATTATGGCGTTGGCGATTGCTTTCATTGTGCTTCACACGACAGCTCGAGTAGCTCTAGCATTATAGACCTACATTGTGCGATAGAGTGGGCACTCCCTGCCCCAAAGCATACTGCAGCCATCACCCACGCATGTGATATTTTCATCAAAACACGACACTGTGATATTAATCTAATATGGATTGTTTATAAAGGTTACAATGTGTACTTACTTTAGCATGCCAATTCGAACAGATGACTTTGAATTTGAGATATCACATTGGATTTTGCATAGTATCTAACCAACTATCTGATATCTCATTTGTTAATTGTTAATTTGTTAATTATAGTTGGTTAATAAGTTAATCTTGCTGCCACTGCTTCGTACCTATATCTATCCTTGCACTTGCGTGTGAGCCAGCTCCAGAATTTGGACCACGTACTGCAGTCTGGCGTGTATCGCTCGGTGAAAGACACTTGTACGGTGAATGTGATGAGTTCTGGCACGCTGCGAGGAAGAACCAGGGGATTCTCATGTACATTACATAGGGAGTGAATAAAAACAAATTGATTTTTTATTTTTATTTACCCGGCCCTGATTATATAAATAAATATATATATATATATATATATATATTATATATATATATTAATAGTATATGTTATAGAAATAAATGATGAAATATATATATACACGACACAAAAGGAATTATATCAAAACACTATAGTAGTATAGTAGTAGTAGACCGAATAATTCTGTCCCATATAACCTTTTTCATATTTTGGTGAGGGTCCCGGTTATTGGCCAATAACCCTCACCAAAATATGAAAAAGGTTATATGCCGGGACAGAATTATTCGGTCTATAGTAGTAGGAGCAATTTTAATTCATAACCAGTAAAAGCAATACAAACTTACAGGGAATAATTTTCCCGGTATCGCATCGCAATTCGCGATGTATTTTCAGCCATTTGCTACGCATATTTTTTTATGAATGCAGTTGTGCGATGCAGCCCATGCGAGATGTAAACGGAAACATACATGTTTACAATTTACTTTTATTCTCGGGCTGCTTTGCCCCGTCAATGAAATGCCACGTTACGCCGATTTTATTGACTTGTTAACACCAAAGCCAACGTGACTTTTAAACAATCCCCCCCCCCCGTACATCAATCAATATGCCGCCCCAGGCACGTATACACAGCCACGCTGTGCTGGCACTGCACGCTGTC